CCCCAAGTCAGCTTCTGCTGAAACTGACCAGCGCTGACTACAGGAAGCCCCAGGCAGAGTTGCTCTGCCCCGGGCTTCCTGGAATCAGCTGCTGATCAGTTTCAGCAGCAGCTGACTTGGGGACGCCTGGGGTTCTTAAGTTGATTCTGTATGTAAGTCAGAACTGGCGGTCAGTTTCAGCAGTGTCTGAATCTGGACGCCAGTTCCGACTTACATACAGATTCAACTTAAGAACAAACCTACAGTCCCTATCTTGTACGTAACCCGGGGACTGCCTGTACATTTAAAATAATCTCATTTTTATATAGCATTTAATCAAATGTTATAAAATAATCAGTGCTATCATGTAATTTCTCTTCCTCACCAAAAGTTTTATTTAATTTAAAAAAAAATAGCAGGACTATAGCTGTTGCTGTCATACTACTTACAAAATATGAATTGCTTTGTTCTCCCCCGTTATATGAATTTATGCAAGGGACCGTCCCTCTAAAAACATTTTAATTTTTGTGACAAAAGGTTACACACATTTTTTTCTTGGATATCAGATTTTATAATTGAGCAGAACATGGAGTTTGCAGTTACAAAGTTTGCATATTTCGATTTAAAGCAGTTCTCTTGAGGATTGCACAAAAAAGTTAGGATCAGATTTGCCAAACATTTCACAGCTGCTAACAAGCTATTGCTATGCTATGAAGAAGGCACTAACAACTACTGTAAAGCCTTGATGTGATGATATAAATCTTAAGTAAATACACCAAAACAACTTATCTTAGAATAAAAAAGGTTTTCTCTAAACCACACATACACACCTTTCTTCTGTGCACAAGCACTACTTTAACAGATCCCATGCTTCCATCCACAGAAGGCCAGGAGGTAGTAAAATAACACACAGTTTGGCACACAGTGGGCCAAATTCCATGTTGAGATACATTCAATACAGTCTATCTTTACAGAACAAAACTGAAAATTAGGCAGCATGCAAGACTATATCAGAAGACTTATCAATAAAAGTAAATAATACATTTACTTGTAAATCATCTTCACTCCCAGACTATCTGCTAACCTTAACTGTAGCCAGATACATTTCATTCTTCATTAAAAAAAAATAGGTTTAATTTCTTCTTTCAATGCAAATTCCAGCACAGTCTTAACTGAGGAGCTGCTATATTACCTCCAAAACGTCATATACTGTGAAAGGTTCAAGTCTTGTTGGCCAATTCAATATGTTAATATCAACTATAATAATAAAAACTGTATGCTCCCCTTTTGCAGAAGCTAAAGCTGAAAAAAATCAAATCAAAGAACCAAAAATAAAAAAGAACCAAACCTAACATGGAAGGAGACCAGAAGGGGACTGGAGATGGTGACACTTATTCATTTCCTTGGGAAAAAAATGCCAAATTTGTCTATGAGTGTACAATAAAACTGCTTTGCAACAATCATTAATTTGTTTGAAGAATCAAGCTTAATAGCATACACGTTCAAAAGAAAAATGTACTTGAATATTCCTTGGCAAATAGATGTTTTATAATCAGCATAAGAATGTCTGTTTTTCTTTGAAAATATCTAATGAAAATATTCATAAAGAGCTAGCTTGTAACTTTATGAACCCCCTTTGCAGAGAGGTGACATATACCTGCACTTGCCCAGGAGCACATCGGAGGATAAACTTAGTCTCGGAGTGAAACCTCCTCCTTGGCTCCTCTCTGACTCAGAGAAAGGAGTCACTTACCTCAACCGTCCTCTCTCAACTTTTCTACAGCAAAG